TTAGAGTAGCCAGGTATTTCTGTACTACTTCTCTACCTATTAGATGCTGCATTTCTCCCACTACATCACCTGCTCTTCGCCCCTCAGGTTGAGCACTATTTACCTTTTTGGAGAAAACTGACACAAAAAAGGTGTTGAGAAGTTCAGCCTTTTCCCTGTCTTCTGTTAGTAGTTGGACATCTTTTCCACACAGCGACCCTATCATTTCCTTGTTTTTTCCTTTTGCTGTGGGCATAACTAAAAAAGCCCTTTTTATTGTTTTTAATCTGTCTGGCAAGCCTGAGTTCATTCTTCATTTTTGATTTTCTTACCTTCCCCCTACATATACTGGCTATTTGCTTGTATTCCTCTTTGGTGTTTTCCCCATTTTTCCATTACTTCTACATTTTTTTAACACTTAGTTCAGTTGAAAGTTCTTTAGTCAACCATTCTGGTTTCTTTAGACATCTCCCTTTTTTGTTCTTATTGGAACAGTTTTAGATTGTGCCTTTAGTATCTCCCTTTTAAGAAATTCTCATCCATCCTGAACTCCCTTCTCTTTCAATCTTCAAATCATGTTGTTGTTGTTTAGTCATTAAGTCATGTCCAACTCTTCGTGACCCCATGGACCAGAGCATGCCAGGCCCTCCTGTCTTCTACTACCTCCCAGAGTTGGGTCAAATTCATGTTGGTAGCTTCGATGACAGTGTTCAACCATCTCGTTCTCTGTCGTCCCCTTCTCCTCTTGCCTTCGCACTTTCCCAACATCAGAGTCTTTTCCAGGGAGTCTTCTCTGGTCTTCTCACGTCACCTACCAGCCACAAATAAAGGAAGGAAGCCCCTGAAGAGCAGAAGCCAACAGGTGGTTTATCAAAAAGTCAAAGAAGTACACAGTATGATAACAGGGAAATGAAGAACCAGCCTGGATAATTATTTTTAAAAGATAATTAGTTACAGTGATGGCACTAGGGTCCAAAAGTCTATAGGTACTACCATAGATAGAGTTTTTAGAAGTAATGCTTTAATTTCCTATTTCTTAGTGTGAAGTTGGACATAACATGTGCCGTTGGAAACTGACAGCTGTGCATTTCGAAAAGTAACAGAGGAAAAAAATTAGACAGGTTGTGTGTACCTGTTTATTAATAAATCAAATGACAGATTGCACTAATCCATTCCATTTATATAAGGTTAGGAAGTGCTTGCTTTCCATGTCTACCTCAAATTTCCCAAATAATATTAAATAGCTTCTTTTTTTGGCCAGAACCTTCTCTTCCTCACCTTCATCTGCAAGTCTGCAAGCCCTACTGAGTGCAGTATAACAAACACTAGAACCAGGACTGCGCCTGAAAATCTGTGTTTGGCTTTTCAGGGGTGCAGGGGATGATTACAAAGCGTTCATGCATTTGGAAAATCTGCTTTTTTAAAAACCCTGCTGAATGTTAGTCTGCTGTCCTACAGTACAAAACACGGTCTCTCTTGCTATCCATTTTATTGGTGCTTCCACAGCCACGGCCAAGCACAAGACAGCAGTATGAGACACAGCATAAGCTAGTGCTTGGATCATGTGTATTCCTTACCCATCATTTGCTGAGACCGTATCCTAGTAAAATACTTTAGAAGTCTTCAAAGAGGAAGCCATCGTAATCTTTTCCTACTGGTTGTGGGTTTGATTAGCGGATGGCATGTCACATTTTTCTGAAAGGGCTTCTAAAAGTCTCTTTCAAAAGAGAGAGAGACTTCACAGGTAACTGTGTAACTTGTGGCTCGTTATTTCCAAGCTCTGCTTTTGTCTGAAAATCAGGTTTCTTCTCCGCATATCCCCAGTCCACTGTTAATTATTCCATATGGTCTAGAGGAATTGTCTGTTTTCGATTTCCGAACTGCATGCATGTTCTTTCTTGTTGCTTCATGCTATGCAAATACCTTACACTAGCTTCCTTTTTTTCTCATCTAACAGCTAAAGAAGCACCAGGTGCACTGTCCAACTTTTTAGAAATCAGCAAACTGTCAGTAGATTTTGTAAAAGTGAGAAATGACAGTGAGTTACCATCACTCTTTCACTGGGCATGCAAAGCGACAATGTAGGGGCAAAGTGAGCTGGTTTTCTCTCTTCACACATTTAGGTCACCCATGAATGACAGAATAGAGCTCAGCTCATGGGGATCAGTGATGTTTATTTCTATCCGAAAAGTTATAGAAAGTGTACATGTAATGCTGTGTTATCTACTGCCAAATACTGTTGGTAATACTGTTGGTAATGCCCAGATTTTCCCAGGACCACAGTAATAAATTCAGCACAACCAATCCTGAAAAAGCAGGACTTCTGAAGAATATCCATCAGCAGCAGCAATAATGATTGGTGATCGTTAAGTGAAGCTCTTAAGTAATAAATAAATGTATTTGCCTACATGAAAAATGGGTTATTTCTCTCTGTTGCCATTTTTGGAGCAAACTCAATGTTTAAGCATTTTTTTCCTTGATTTTGTTTTTTCCCCCCTGATATGGAAGGGATATTTCCCATACTGTATTAGCTAATATTTGGGATAGCCAAAGAAGAACCAATTTGTTCCAGACAGTTCCAGAGCACATTTTATGACACAGATACCTTTCATTACCTGAGAAAAAAGAAAAAAAATCTTGTCACTCATCACAATGTCACACAGGTTACAGCAATGGGGGTGGTTTAGTCACTTGGAATACATTCAGCAGGGAGCCTCAGGAAGCCCCTCTTCTGTGGGTCCTCCTTCACAGAGATCTGAATTCTTCTTCTTCTGTTTCATCTTATTGCCTGGAGAAAAGATGCTGAGGACTGGAACATTCCTGATATTTGTCTGACCCTCATTCACATCGCAGTTATCTATACCAACACTCCAGTTTTGTAGCTAAAGGAAGAAACGTGAAGAAATGTTATCCTGTATAGCAACAATGAATAGTCTTCTGATTTCAGTTTGAAACTGTTTCAGAGGCACTGAGTGAAAGAAGACATTTTTTTCCTGAAAACACTTCATGCAAATATTTCCAGCTCTCATTTTTATTTATTGTATGTTTTGAAGACCATGTGGTTCTGTTCTTCTCTTTTATAATGTATATTTTGCTAGACTTTTAAAAAATGAACAAAGTTTTTTTTCCCAGCCTTTTCTGTATAGCTTCCACCATTTTATTTGCATAGCAGATAGACATTCATTTCTACATATTTTCTTTGTGTGAAAGGATGGGCAGAGCTTCCCCTGTTGGACCTTTTATAGCTGCTCAAGGTACAGAAAGTTCTTCTGAGAAGAGGACAACAACAGAGATGGGCATGAACTAGCAAAATGACTGTTTGTTGTGGTTCGTGGTTCATTGAAGGCCATGAACTTCTCAAACTTTTGAAAAATGAACCACAAATTGTTTCATTTTAGTTTAGAGGTTTGGGAGCCCTAGAAAGCTTTCCCCCAGCCACTTGGAAACCCCAAAATAACAGAAAATCATCCCCTGATTCTCTTCCACACCCCTTCCAAGTTTGGTGAAGTTTAGATTTTGGATGTCTGGGAAGGAACAACACCCTTTCCCCAAACTTCATGGACAATGCTATGTGGGAAGTCTGAGCCTGGGGTACAGAGGTTGTTGTGTGGTCAACAAAGTGTTGGGGGGGGGGAACAGGCTGCCTGACAAGGTAAGCAATATGCAGCTGGAGATCTGAGTTAACCTGTTTATAAGGCAGAAGTGTTCCTCTGACTAGCAGAAGTGGCTCTGAGATGGAAATGGCTCCTGTGAATTGGTCTTATAAATAACAAAAAACAATTCTCCCAGAGCCCTTGGAGCTGCTCATTTGGCTGCCTGACCTGCCAATCCAGTAGTCTCTAGGTCCCTCCCAAGGTTGCCTAGTGTGTCTGATTGCCAAGAGCAGGCTGTCGGGGGTGGGGAGAAAATGGGCAAATGAACCGAACGAACCAAAAATTGCTAAAAAAATTCATTGGTTCAGTTCATTTTGGTTGGAGCAGGCTGTCGGGGGTGGGTGGGTGGTGGAATGGGCAAATGAACTGAACGAACCAAAAATTGCTAAAAAAGTTCATTGGTTCAGTTCATTTTGGTTTGTTTCTTTTGATGACCCTGAATTGATCCAAAGCAATGAACCAGTGATTTTTTTTACAGACTTCCTGGTTTGTTTTGTGGTTCATGTCTGTCTCTAGACAGCAGCCCTCAGTGCCTGAGGTATTTGTTTTCAGAAATGTCTACTCATTCATGAGATAGGGATTTTGCTTCATAATTCTCATGTGCATGATTTTCATTTGTCAGGGAAAGTATCTTATAATTTCTCCTAGCACCCTTCTTCTCCCAGACATCATCTTCATTTCCCCATTCACATTCTTTTTTAAAAATGACGTTTGAACCCATTTTCAAAAATGTGGCCCTGTTCTGTTTCAGTGTGACTAACAAAAGCAAACAAACAAGCAAAGCATTTTTAAAACTATGGAAAATATTGTAAGGGGAGATTTCACTGATTACATTTCAGTTCTTCAGACACTGGGGAAAAGGTGCACAAATAAGGGATGCCTTTATTAGATCTCTGTAGTGGATAAAGTGACAGACTAGGACTCTGGAGAACAACAATTGGATCCCCACTTGGCTATGGAAGCTCACTGGGGGAGCGGAACTGGAATAAACACTCCTTAAATATCTTGCTTACCCTGAAAACGCTATTAGGGTTGCTATAAGTCAGTTCTAACTTGATGGCACAAAACACACACACAAAATTGAACAAGTAGCAATTTGGTTTTTTTAAATTGGTCTAATAAAAATATCACCTACTCTAGCATTTGTGTAATCTTAAGGACCACAAAACACACACACAAAATTGAACAAATAGCAATTTGGTTTTTTTTTTTTTATTGGTCTAATAAAAATATCACCTACTCTAGCATTTGTGTAATCTTAAGGACCACACGGCCTTTTTCTTAATGTAAGAATTTCCACAATTCTCCGCTCCTACCACAAGGTGGCCCTTTCTGTTCTCAGATGCACGCCAAGGGAGTTCGGCAGGTGAAATGTTTCTTATTGGTTTACTAGCGGCATGATGCCACTGGATAGCCCTTTTAAAGAGAAAAACTAGGAACAGTGCAAAGAGCTGGTTACGGTAGCCTTGTGCTGAGGAAGGGGATTGCTGTGCACTGTCGGTTGAAAACAATCATGAGCGAGGTGAGTGGAGCAATGCTTTTGGTATGGAAATAAAGCAGCAGGCACCTGAAGAAGTAAGACTCATGGATAGAAGGGAAGGATGCTGCTTCTTTTGACTCAGACAGGAGACTAAAAAGAAACCCAGAAATCACCTGTGAAATTGTTTTATCTTTAATAAATGATTGCACCCATGTAGGAGTGTGTGTTGATTTGCTAGATTAGTGCTTTCTAGGAAAATATAGATTATCTTGTGTGTATATTGAACTTAACAGACGTCATGTTTCAGAATGATCCGATAATCTTTCGAAAGGCTGCAATCCATCACTCATTTACCTGGGTGCTTCTCTGAGGAGCTTAACTTCTGAGCTGATATGTAAAAGATTGCAATGGGAGAGACTTGAGGGAAAAGGATGCCAGAGTCTATCAATATTCATGGAATAGTTTCCTGCCTTTGCCACTATTAGGAAGTAATGTCAATTACAACCGCTCTGTAGGGATGCATGGAATGCTGAGATCACAAAGGGAAAGATTTCAATATCTGTTTTACATTTTTAAAAGCCAGCTAGGGTGTCTGTTGTACTAAAGTTAGACATCAATAGTTGATTTTTTTTAAACATTAAAAATGTTGGTTGTTACACCTGGTTCCTTAGCTCCTATTGCTGACAACCTTTGTGGCCATAAGGAAGCATGTAGGTAGCATGGATCATCAAAAGGCTGTTGTGGGTTGTTGTTTTGAAGTTAAATCAGTGCATGTGTATCTGTTTTAATGTACCAGGTCTCCAGCAGCCAAAACTGCAATAAAGATTTCTACATTTTAAAATGCATTCTTTCAAATGCCGTGGGAATTCCACTCACAGAGCTATCGTTATACACAGCCTTGGCACATGGCTTGTTTGGAGGTGCCCTTTCCTATTTTAAAGTACAGTTCAATTTTAGGCAAAGATTCTCCTTTTCTTGCCGTATAGGATAAAATAAACACTGACAAGAAGTTAAGTATCTCTTCTATGATGTATGTTTCTAACAGTACCTGAGATAAAAAGACACGGGATGAAATCACTAGTAAGAAGTAAATAAATGGTTGTTCCTTCTGTTACATCTTTACACTCATTAGATCTGGTGGTCTTTAGGAAAGAACCACCATAACAAGATTTCATTTTCAGAGGATAGAACTGTCCTAGAATTAAGCAAGTCGCTCCTTGAGTGTTTTTATTGGGCTTATTGAACAGAGGGTTAAGGCACCCATTCTTTCTGAGTGTATTCACATTCCAGAAATGCTTACAGCTGAATAAATAAACTGGAAAAGGTCAATGTTTCAGTATGCAAATTACATTATGCTTCCGTTTGTAACAAACCATGAAATGGATTAGATTGTCTGATGTGTTGCCCATTCTTCTTCTATCAGATGACAGAACTTCCTCATAGTTTCCTGATTTCTCTTTTCTTTGAAATAAAGCCTTATTGCCACTGTGCATTCCCTTTTCCTACCAGATCAGATTTTTCTGCTATTCCCTTATCACTCACTGTTCGGACAATTGCCATTCAAGCTGCCACAGTTTACATTTGGTTCCTCTCCCAGGAAATCTCCTCATCACATCAGTAAACTAGAACTTCCCGCAGGAAAATATGTGTATCAAAAATTAAAAAAATGTACAATAGTAATTTTACACTTCATGTAACTAAATCTGAAAGTTTCGTTGGAGAGACCAGCCTCAGGGTTTGATCCAAATTCTGCCACAGTCTGAATTTAAATAATTAATTTATCATCCTTCAGTAAGTAATAAATCTGCATTCCTTGATGGATACTTTGAACAGTTGTTACTGTGATAGAAAATGAATACACTTAGTAAACTTTATAAGAATATAAAATCCAATATCTGGGCAATTGGTTTTCACTCAAAAGGAAGCAGGGGATGGGGTCAAAGGGCTTTATTATTATCATTTTTTAAAAAAACACAAAATGTGGCTAGAGAAAGAGAGGATCAGAAAGGTGATCATTTTAGTTTTCTGTATCCACACTTTTTGGGCAGGACTCCTGAATAAGCTGATAATTTATTGAGCTCTCGTTAACTCTCTTTCCTCCTTTCATTCTCTCTCTACCTTGTTATATTGATGAAATCTGACATAGTGTAAGGGAAAAGAGCAGCTCAAATATGGCTATGAAAGCCTTGTCCCAAAATAGACTTGGGTATGCAGCTAAGAGAGGATGGTGAAAAAGGATGTGATTGTTTGTATACCAAGACTGGTTAGTGTCCTAGCTAAGCAAAAACATTCAGAATTAGAAAGCTCTGAAGCATTCAGAAATATGGGTAAACAAACCCTATTTACTTCACCACATCTGATTATTTTCTCATTCTGCTGCTTCACAGCAGGGAGCAAACAACTTCGTTATCCTTCTGTGACTCTGGAAAAGCAAACTCCATAACATATTCATTAGTTTGATCTTTTCTTCATCTTTCTTCCCTGTCAGTTAATTTGTGGGACTTTAAAGAGTTCTCTTGAGATTTCATCTGATCGTTAGTACATGACTAAAGATGAGAAGCACTGAGGCTACAGGGCTTCATTTGTGGGAAGCCACAGATGCTTTGTTCCTTTGCATAATAGCACTCATATGAAAAGGGGAGAGAGAGGGAGAGAGAGAGAGAGGGAGAGAGAGAGAGAGGGAGAGAGAGAGTCAGCACCTTAGCACCACATGTCCTCAACCTGGAAGATGACAACTAACTTCACTCATTTTTGGCAGGCACCATTCTTTGGAATACTTGTACATCTGTACTCTGTAATGCCACATTTACAAGACCATACTTTAAATCACAGTAGCTGAAATTGGGTCCCTTTAATACAGTATTTCTGTTTTGTTAACCACTTTGATCTCTAGCTCTTCCCATGTCCTAAACAGGCATTAAATCTGTCTGAAACTGGTGCAGGGCATAGGGGATGGATATGTAAGTCCCACCCCCTGCCTCCTATTCCGTCCTGAAGTAAAGCAGACTTTTACACGGTCCCTACAAAGGTTTACAGATGTACCTGCAAGGACATTCAGCTGATAAGGCAAGGCTCCTGATGAGGGATGCCTGTGAGAAAGTTCTGCTGTCACAAGCTTCTCTGTACAACTTTGCAATAGGCAAACAAACATTGGCCGGACTCCAAGGTGGGGTGGGTTTGTTGGGGACAGGGCTCACATGTGGCCCCTTATCCTGAGCACCCTTAAGGCCTGAATAGGACATATCTCTATCTCTTGTTCTCTTTCAAAATCTGAAGAAATGACTCATTCTGAGTTTCAGAAGAACACATTCTTACATAGCCTTTTTTTACTACATTATGACTAGATATGGGCACAAATTTAAAAATGAATCACCAAATTCATTCAAAAATTGCTAATTCATTGATTCATATTAGTATGAATCAATGCCCTAATGAATACAAATCAATGATTTTAAAGCAATGTTTAGTTTGTTAATTCTTTTAGCTATAAAACAACCTCTCAGGCAGCTAGAGACATCAACATTGCAGGAAAGTTTCCTCTGATTCTTCTCTACATCTCTCCAAGTTTGATGAAGATTGGATTTCCCCAAGCCAGCTGCTAAAGGGTATTTTCCTGGGAGGACCCATTTTGTGGGTGTGTAACTGGGGCATCCAAAACCCAAACTTCACCAATCTTGCAGGGCTTGTAGAGGAGCGGGAGGGGAAGCATCTCTACAAATTTGGTATGTGAGGACCCATTTTGTGGGTGTGTAACTGGGGCATCCAAAACCCAAACTTCACCAATCTTGCAGGGCTTGTAGAGGAGAGTGAGGGGAAGTATCTCTACAAATTTGGTATGTCTAGGTGTGTGTGTGTGTGTGTGTGTGTGTGTGTGTGTATTTTTTAGGGTTTCAAATTAAAAATGAGAAAAAATGTGAATTTGTAATTCATGATTCATCAACCTTGATGAATCATGGATCAAAACAATTCACAATTTTTCTGATTTGTGCCCATCTCTAATTATAACAGGCAGTGTGGCATTTTAGTTAGGGTTCTGGGCTGGAACTTGGGAGATGTAGATTCACATCTCTGCCGAGTCATGGAACTCACTGGCTAACCTTAACCCTGCACTTGTCTCCCCCTGAACCTACATCACAGGGTGGCTGTAAGAATAAAGTTTGGAGGATGTAAACAGCATGTGAACTATGAAATAAATAAAGGTGTGGAGAGAGGCAAGGGACTTTGCTCAGGCCTGTGCTGAGCAAAGCATCTCAGTAAGGGTCTTGGGGCAGATATGAAAGCCTTCAGAAGTTGCCTCCATGGGCATGTTAAATGCATGGAAAAGAGAAATGGACCATGTTCAGTAGCGTCCTTTATTTGGCTGCCCTTCCACACTCCTGGCTGCTGTACAATCAGGGTTCCAGATCCCTGATCTGGGCTTGGGTCCAGGATTTGCCTACGATGGACAGAAAGGCTATAGGGTCAAGAAATGTGTTTCTGCCTGATTTGGGGGTGGGGAATTTCCTCTTTTTTGTCATCACTGCATTTCCAGGAGGCTGTGAGGCAGGTCTGGATTGAGGGGAAAGAGTACTTTGCATCTGTTAGTCCAGTCCCAAGTACTTATGTCTGGACACAGCCAATCGATACCTTTCCATTAGCACTCACATATGATGCTGAATATAAAAGCTGTTGAGATGCTACTAGTAGCAAATGAAACAGAGGCATTTTTCATGGATTCTTTGCAAGACAGAAGCTGCTCGCCCCATCCCATGGCATCATATTTCTCACTGGCCCTGCTCTCCTCCAGTTCATACAGTCAGCTATGTGCATAAAATTGGTGAGTCTGAGTGAGGGTTGGGGAACCTGCAGCCCTTTCGGTTATTATTGAACTATAGTTCCCATCATCCTCCACCAAGGGGCATGCAAGCTGAGGATGGTGGTTATGGGAATCAGGAAACATCTGGATGGCCAATTGTTCCCTATGCCTAATCTGGACTATGGGGGCAAAACATGGACATGTGCACCGTAATGACAATGCACACTCCTCCACTCCACATAAAATC